CTTCTTCAACGCTTGGCGTGCTCAGCAGAGCGGGACAGTATTTCATGCCGGCACACCGCCTGCAATTTTACAAAGCGCAGGTTCGGCCGCACATGGAATACTGTTCCCATCTCTAGGCTGGGGCTCCCCAGTGCCAGCTCCTTCCACTTGACCGCATCCAGCGCAGAGCGGCTCGAATCGTCGAGGACCGAGTGCTTTCCGATCGGCTCGATTCATTAGCGCTGCGAAGAGATGTTGTATCTCTTTGCGTATTTTATCGCACCTATCACTGTGTGGAGTGGAGTGCTCTGAGGAGTTGTTCGGATTACTCCCAGCCGCCCGCACTACGCGGCAAACCTTCCGATGGATGATGGATGGTCCACACCATCTGGATGCTTGGCGGTCCGCCACTGTAAGTTTCACTAGGAGTTTTCTTCCGTGTACGACCTCTCTGTGGAATAGTTTACCACCAGCGATTTTTCAGGACCGATACAACCTAGGGACCTTCAAGAAAAGAGCTTACTCCTTTTTAAAGGGCCGGCAACGCACCTGCAATTCCTTTGGTGTTACGGATGTTCATGGGCGGCGGAAGTCACTAAACATCAGGTGATCCGTGTGCTCGTTTGCCCCCTCTTCTATTAAAAAAATCGCGATTATGCACTCGATTATTGAAAATCTGTTAATATCCTCCTGATTCCTCCTTTTATATTTAATTGTATCAATAACATTGAATTTTTGTCTTTTATTTTCAAGAGCTGTGATAATACCATCTCTCTTTAAATATAAAATAATGTATATTTTTCCGTTTAAAAAATAAATCTATAATGATCTATTTTTATCCATATTTATTGCCCCGTGGGTGTCCTAGGAGATGTAAATTGAAACATAGATGGGCATCAGCAACTTCCTTACAACAATTCAAAATAATAAGAAACTGCGGTGTCCAATCCATCTGTCAAGCGTGCCAACTATGGAAAAATCCTCCTATGAGGCAATCTATTGAGAAGTCCATATTCAGCAGTGGAGGAGCAGCCTGGAGTCAAGGGTTTAGCAGTGTTTCATCCCTATGCCTCAAAAGCACGTAAAGCCGTTTTATCTGTATCTGATCTCACTCTCTCTAGATTACTAACTCGGACACAATGATAAATAGACAATTTTTTATATTTTGTATCATATCAATAGGGGCAGATTTTTGTAAAGTTCTATAATATTATTATGCATAATTATCGTAATTTCCTTTTACGGATTTCCCCACCACCATGCAATTGAAAACCATTTATACCTATTGTGTAAACAACGTATCCTGAAAAGTGAGATATTAGGAAAATGAAAAAAAAGCTAATTTCATTATTTTAATCCTAAAGTGTTCGTAGGTACTAATTTTAAAGTTACAATAATTATTTAATAATTTTCCTCTATACCAATATGAAATCACATCTTAAAAAAAACATTCATAAAACCTTATTTTACCATTTAAGGATTTTAATTTTTCAAGACTTCTTTCCTAGTGGATGCCTACTTAGTAAAAGGAAGTTATTGTTCCAATTTCACGCATCTACATCCAGCGGTTTGAGCTGTAGATTTAATACAATATTTTTCATACAAAATGTTTTTGTTTTAAAACCGTAAGAGGCAAATTTTATTATTTAATTACTTTAGAGCATTAAATATTTTTTCACCCTTCAAATTGAATATTATTTACACCCTTCTCCCTCCCCCGGTAAGAGGTTGTTTTAAGAAGTACCAAAATATTTTATTTCTATACAAAATTGCACACCCTCTGCCCCTGGCCCTGTACCGTAACGGGTTATTTTGAAATCGCAACATATGTATTTATTTATTTTTTAAATTCAGTACAGTATAGTACTCTCAGTAAGTATCGAGTCAATCGCCCTGTAAAATATTTTTGTAATAAAATAATAAACTGTACACCCTTATTTTATACTCTCGGGATCGAATTTTCCAAAACGATTTCATAGTGGATTTCTACGTCATAAAAGGTAGCTACCTACAGTCCAAATTTTAGATTTCTACTTCAAGTGGTTTAGGTAGACGACACTCAGTGTAATTTAGTATCTATGACTCAGTATATATTAAAATAAAGTATAAATTAGGATTAGTCAGTGTAAATTTTGACAATTTTTTCCACAACCAGCCCATGATGCGCCATCGATTCAGAGAGTTGAGATGTACGTGGATGTGAGTAGGTGGGTGATGAATGGGAATCTGATTATAGAATATTTTTCAAAAAATCGAGAAAATTTCAGAATTTTCAAGAAAGTTTTAACAAAAGATTAATGTCCTTCAGTTCAATGGATGCTAGCATGTATTCTATTAATTTTTAACTTTTTAAGTTTAATAGATTTCCATAAAAAAGCTTAATTCTATTAATCTATCTATATAATACATAAAAGAGGATATCCTGAGTGACTGACTCATCTATCAACGCACAGTCCAAACCACTAGACGTAGAAATCTGAAATTTGGATTTGGACGATAGTTGCGTTTTATGACATGTAATAGCAGGTATGAAACTTTTTACTTTACCGGGAAATTAGTTAAAATTAGATTCAAATCTTACTGTAAGTAAGTACTCCATAAATGAAATAAACGAATATATTATATAGTTTGCGACTTTTCAATAATGTACCCTTGAGGTTGCGAAGTTTGAGTAAAAATAATTGTATTAAAAAAACAGCAGCAAAAAGCAGGAAAGTCGCTGGACGTAGAAGTGTGAAATTGGGACAATAGACTTCCTTTTATTAAGTAGGCATCCACTAATAAAGGATTTTAGAAAATTCTACCTCAATTTGGGTGAAAAAGTGTTACAGTTTGAAACGTTTTTACAAGACGATTGATTCGAAGCTTAATATAAGTATTCTGTATTTTACAATTTTTAAAATAACCCCTTACAGGGTGTTGAGTGTCATTTTGTTAAATTTACTATGTATGTTGTATTATTACGGTTATAGGTAAATCCTTATTTTATTATAGTAATTAGATAACTATAATATCTTAGATGAAAGAACTAGCGACCTATCATAGTGTAGCCTAGAGCCCTCCTCGCATCGCTCTCTACCTGTTCGTAAAGTTTCATCATAATCCCGTTCAACCATTTAGAAGATTGACCGACAGACAGGCAGATAGAGAGACTGATTTATAAAATTCATCTTTGTTTATGTCGGAATAGCATGCAAATAGAAATCTGAGCTTAACAGAAACCTTTTTTCAATCTTACGGACAAACACTTTAATTTGATTTATATGTATAGATAAAAAAAATTATAGAATAGGATGACAAACGAGCACACAGTCCACTTAATGGTAAGTGGATTCAGTGTCCCATAGACATATCTACATTTATCCCCGATTAAGAATAAAATGCAGATGCGTTGTCACCTCTGAAGACTGATATGGAATGCCTCGTTTCCAGTAAAAATGGTCATCGATTTTCTATACTCACCATACGAAACACAGCAACTTTAAGTTGCTATTTTACGCTAGTTGCAGCGTGGCTCCACCACGTATAAACATACTTACATAATTTAAGTATTATGAAAGAAAGAGGGCTTAAGAAACTGTTGCGTGCATTTTTTTGTAGAATAATGGTTGCAAACGAGGACACCTGATGGTAAGTAAATGCTGTGATCCATTAGACATGTACATCTATCCTCAATTAAGAATCAAATATATATATATATATATATGATATATATATATATATATATATATATATATATATATATATATATATATATACACATATATATACACGTATGGTACACCATACGAAACACATCTGTATTAAACAACTGTTTTACGCTGGTATTCTGTGAGAGCATGTTCTTACCTCAGGTTCCCGCCCTGTCATGGCGGGAGGGACTTAATAGCCGTGGCTTGGTTACTCACGGTGAACAAAGAGAAACTCACTGGCTAGTCCGAGGTGTAGGGCCGGCTCGAGGTGACTACACCGAGTGGGCTTGTCCAGCCGACTCTGGATTCTGGATCTGGATCTGGTTTAAGGACTGTTGACGGGAGGGGTTTCTTTTCCTCCTTCCCGTCGCAGCCGAGGTGTACCTAGTCACGGAGGAAGAGGAGCATAGTCACACCGTTGATGCACTGGTAGTGAGGCCACGGGGGGAGAGTAGCGTTGGTATTGCGAGGCGACACTTTCATCACCTTTCGCGTCCGTAACTTGGATGGTGGCATGCAATTCACTCACCATCAGATGAACTGTGTGCTCGTTTATTACTTTTATTCTATAAAAAAATGTAGGTACTTTACTGTTGGATGTGACTAGTGATTCGGTAAAAGGAGGAATAGCATGATATTTTATTTATTTGGCTAAAGGATTTTCCGGTTATAACTAGATAGTCAAATATAGTTGGTTAAACGAAGGATTTATTCACAGGTTAAAGTAGGTGTAGCGGATTGCTTTTAGTCCGAATAATAGTTTTTTTTTTGGGTGTCAACGTGTTTTACATATCTGTTAAGCACGTGTTAAACTAGCACTTAAATTTGCTATTAACAATTTCAGTAGTGCCGACGATGAGAAATCTTTTGACTGAATTTTATGAAATTTAATAAAAACTCCAAACTAGAAATATATATAATTCTTATGTCCGTGTGTATGTGACTGTTTTGATGAAATTTTGTATGTGTGATTAAGTTGATACGAGAATGCTTTAGATTCACAATTGGACCCGGTAAATGGCGCTGTTGTTGAGATCCAGAAACCACTCGTGCGAAGATGTGGCGGTTTGCTAGTAAACTTATAATTCTTCTCTACGTATGTTTGTTTGTCACTGAAGTCCTGCTTAACAGCTGGACCGATTTTGATGAAATTTTGTATGTGTGATTAAGTTGATACGAGAATGCTTTAGATTCAATTGGACCCGGTAGATAGCGCTGTTGTCGAGATCCACAAATCACTCGTGCGAAGCCGGATCGGATCGCTAGTATTGTCAGCATAAATTAACTTCGGACACTTGTTGTTATAAATTAACTTGCTTATCCACTTACCTGGTTGTGAATAATCAGAAGACTTTATTTCCGTGAAATCACTCGAATCTCCAGCGGTTGAACTCTCCACATCCACTTGTTCAGAACTGTTACTAGCTTTATCATCTTCGTCATTTGAACAATAAGCTTGTTCTGTATTGCACACATCTTTAAAAAAATCCACAGATTCATTCGTACACTCGTTGTTATCGTCGACAAATTTATTTTTTATTTCATTAACGTCTTTACTAAATTTGTCAGCTAATAAATTATCTATAGAGAATGTTAGTTTAGGCTCAGGTTTATCAGTTACTAAATCGGGTGACTTAATCATTTCTTCCACTTCCATTATCTCGTTTGATTTGGAAAAACTCATTGTTGAACGAACTAAATCTTGCCAAATTTTTACAAACGGATGCTACGTCCGCACTGTGTAAAGTCAACAAACATTTTAAAGTTTCAGAACTAAACACACTTTTTCACCTTCATATCTGATTTAGAGTCTGGTAACTCACACAAGATAATAATTTAAACCAATTCGAAACTCTAACGACGCGTTTTTGTCAAATTGGATCGCTGAAACGACTGCGAGTCGAGAATGTTAACTGCCTCTTCTGAAAAGCTTAGCTGGCGATGCCGCGTTAATTGTATCTGCCTTATTACTAGCACAATAAAGCTTAAAACGTTTTGAAATGTAAAGATTTACCGTATGCTTTGGACACCTTCGATCGAAATTAAGATGGAAAACCTCGACTAATGGGCGTCTTTATGGATGACAATTTTGTATACCACATTTAGTAGTTCCCTTACGCATTTTGACTTCTAAATTGTAGGTTTAAAGTTCATTATTGAGTGTTATGATTTAAACGATGCAAATAGCTCTTGAAGACGACAGTGAGATATAATTAGCAATAAACCAATCAGGGGACAGTGGGCGTGTCAAAATGGGAACGGATGCGCCCGCGCCTGTCTCCCTGTACATCAAATTGGGATTTATTTAAAGAGCCGCGTGAGATATGCGCATCTTCATTAATTGTGATAATTATTTAGTTAGTTCGTGTAATTGGACACGTCACGTATGTGGAGCTGGCTCGGAGCATCTGAGTGAGGGGATATTTATAGCTTGACGATTGTTATTTATTGGTGATTATTGTCGCGGTAATCACGTACGTAGTAATTGGGCTTAAAACAACCACATCATCTCTAAATTATGAGCACTTGGCACCAGTTTAATGACGCCAAATAGGCAACAACGTTACGTTACACTTATAATTGCCGATAATTAAAAATATATTCTTAAAATATAACTGTTTTACGTAACTATAATAATTCATTTGAATATCGCGAATTATTATGTCGACTTTTTAGCAGCCCGGAGCCAGGATGTAGTTGATGTTTCCCTCCCTTGCCTCGAAAAACACGTACCGAAACCCTTTTTCTGTCTAGAAATTCTTCTGAGTAGGTAACACTGTACACATATAATTTCTGCTGCTAAATAGCAGTGTTTGCATTGTTTTGTTTTGTGAAGAGTATAGAGAATCAGTTTCATTACAGGCTGTAAGGCTTTCCATCTTAGGCCTTAAAGTTGACAACATGTCTGTTACCTCCTTTATTTAAAGTGGGCTGCAGGTATCTTTAATCTTCATTAGCACCATCAGGTGTATTCTAAGTTTGTTTGTCACTTCAATTTTATAAAGATTGTAAAGAGAAAGAAAAGAAACATTGGTCCTGCGTTTGATCTCACGCCCATCGTCTCTGATTGTTGTCTTATCTGTGGGAATAGAGAGTGCACCTGTGCTAGCTAAGCTCATACACTCTAGATACTACTTAGATATATTTCTGTTTCTATGATCTAGATACTAGATATAATACTAGATGTAATACTAGATATAATTCACTAAATACTAGATATAATTCTGTCCTACGCAGATGGCTAATCTCTGCGCTTAGTCTGGCCGCCACGATCGAAATTTGGTCTGGAGAACATTATCTACTTAAATAAGTAGGTACATGCTATATTTTAACAACCGCATGGTCAGTAAGCATATAATTTACTTATTGGTCTTAGTTTCGCATGCCAGGCAATATAAATATAAAAAATAATAAACTACATATATTGTAATTAACACCGAACTATTTCCATAAATTAGAGAATCTCACACTATGCTATGGAATGTCTCCAGGCATTAAGTTCGCACTTTTTATTCTTTTGTTTTAGGGATGCAATAAAGAATAAAAATAAAATAAATAAATTAATTAATCTTCAGTCAGTAGTCTAGGTTCATAGAATTTATTTAAAATGCAATATTTTTGTAAATCAGCACTAAAAACTGTGTCGATTCTGCCAGAATCGAATAAAGGTTACTCATATACTACTTACAATATTTTAGGCTTAGTGCTTGCCCATGAACTACCATGCTCTTAGGTCTTAAATCAGATTAAAAAAACACAAACATTACTGAAAACGCCGTTGACTTTCGTCCAACTACTCTCGTAACCCATAGTGAAAACACGAACATAATGTGAATTATATATGGAAAACTTGCTATTATAAAGTTAACTGTAATAATAATATATGTAATAATTTATTTTATTTGTTAACCGAAATAAATTGAGAAAAAGTCCTTTCCCTTGTGGTGCTATATAATATAATCCGTCACCTTATGGATCAATTTTAGAAGAAACTAGTAATGTGTATCGGTTCATAACATTCGAATGAAAAGCCGATTAATGTGAGAACAGCTTGAGCTCTATAATACCGTTAAATGCTTTGGCAATCAATGTTCAATAAATATATTTCTAAATCAGTTACAAAAGTGACGATGCTCTGGATAACCCGACGAACATTCTGGGTATCTTTGGGATGAACATTAGCATCTTGTTCCTTTAAATATTATGTTGGTATTTAAAATTCTATGCGTTCCTACTACTTCAGCACTTACCCTCAGAAAGCCAGGCACAAAATGGGATTTTTTTATAGAAGCAACGAAACCGTGTTTAATCGAAAATAAATGAAAATACTAAAATTAAGAAAGTCTATGAAAATTTGTGTTGCCATAAAAAATTTTTAAACAAACTCGACCAGAAGAAAATATTGAATCATAGGTACTCTTAGATATACGTGAGTATATTGTTATTCCATGAACAGCAGCTTCCTAATAACCAGGATTTGTCTCAAAATAAAAGTTGCTTTTCCAGTCTTCTATTGTGGACCTCTGACTCCCCCGCGATTTTCGGTGGAGTTCTTAACAGTAGGTACTATGCTGGGGCTTGCAGTTAATTTTTTTAGTGATAGTTTTCTATTAATAATGACAGAAGTCATAGTCAATGATGCTAACACCGAAACTTCTTGCCTCTTTATTTGTTTTAAGGAAATTGTTAGCCTCACGGCCGCTTTTTAGGATTCGGTATTATTGGCTCAGCAACTGCAGACTTCACAGAATATTAATTCCTACATAAAATACCTATTCGTTCTTCGGTATAGATGTTAAATGTAAAGTAGTTTATATTTAGAAATTGGTAAAAGCGGTTCATGTTTTTTAATCAATGGGAAACTGAAACAGAAAATAGGCAGCATTGCGTTTTTGATAACAATTAATGAAAAAACTGAGTTTGCCAACTCGCCTAGCTACAGCTGGCAACATTGGGTGAAAACATTAATACAATTATTAATCTTTTTTTTTTTGTTAAAATGTAATGTACATTTATAATTGTTTTTTAAATGTGCATTGTACACTTCAAAATATAGAGTTTTGCCTGAGGGTTAATGTATATTCAACTTACGTTAACCCTCAGACAAAAATCTATGTTTTGAACGGATTAAATATGGGCCGGTCACAAGTTATAAATTGTAATGTACGTACTAGATCTTAAAAGCTAATTACCGCTAACGTTTAGCTTCGCTTAATCACAGATTAAATAAGTTACAACGCAAACTTAGCGGCCGTCATAGATACTATCCGTAATTTCTTTTCATAGATACTATCCGTAAATTCTTAAACTCCTGAATACTGAATGAAACTCAATAACCGAATAAAAAAAAACAATTATGGCTCATATTTATATAAATAACTACCCCACTTCGAAATAAAATTAGCATGTAAGTGAAAGGCTTGTTTACATAATTGCGTTGAATTTGGCATTTTCGAATGAATATCCCGCCATTTGTCGATCGCCAGAGCTCCATTCTTTAGGATGCTCTGCGGGCTGTTGAAGTTTGTACTTGGAGGAAAAAGTTGGTAATTCCTATCCCATTTCGACTCTCACACACAAAAGATATGACGACTACTGAATTTGCTTTTATTTTATTTTTACATTTCACTGTTACGCCCTAAATCACACCACAAATAGCAACTTAAATTATATGAAAAGTATAATTAAATTGATATTTTTAAATAATATTTATGGCACATTTACACAGGGTCAGTAGATGTCGTCAGTGCTGGCGCCGAAAACTGACTCTTACTATTTACAAGCAGTCAGTATTTCGTCAGTAGTCGAGTATATTTCTTTTGGTGTACACGGTTTGACACGTTCGAGAAAAATGAATTCTCGAAAACAGCAAAAAAATCAAAGTTAATAATTTGTTGAGAAAATTTACCTTTGTGATGATGCAAGAACTAACTGGTATGTTAGAAGAAGAGATATCTAAACAGAAACGAATTTGGGTAAGAAAATGGACCCAGTTGAGAATGGAAGATCCTGGGGAATACAAACTGGCTTTGAGAATGACGCCAAAAAACTTTGACGATTTGCTTATGTTGCTATCAAGCTCTATTCAGCGTCAAGACACATTTATGAGAGACGCCTTGCCAGCCAAAGTGAAACTCGAAATTACGCTGACATTTTTGGCTTCTGGAATGTCGTTTCGGAATCTCAGTCACTTTTATCGTGTATCGATACCATCTATTTCTAATTTAATACCGGAAGTGTGTTGGGCAATATATGAGTCATTGAAAATACAGATTAAGGTAAGAAAATTATTTATTGAAAAAATACTTATAGTAGGTTATCAAAAAAAATTACAATCACATATAAATCATAATAATCTAGACAAAAGTAGGTATTAAGCTGAATCAAAAGCATACTTAATAACATCAGTTACACTGTCACTTTCACACTCAACATTTTCGTTATGTTGATGAGCTGTATTAGGGGCGGTACGGATGATCTACTGACTGGGATCTACATATCTTGGACTTTGAGTTGGCAATGAAAAATAACATCCCAAAGAGCTGCCACTGGGGACAGCTATCTGTGTAGACTGGGTGGGATAAAATTCCAAAGAACTGTTGCTTGAGACAGTCATCTGAGTTACATCGGGGGGATAAAATCCTAAGAAACTACTGT